TTTATTTATTTATTTATTTATTTATTTACTTGGTACAGGGTCTCACTACACAGCTCAGACTCCCAGTGATTCTCTGTAAGCCTCCCCACAACTGGGATTAGAGGAATGTACCAACACACCTGGCTGGCTAGCCCAGTGTGCGGCCAGCATGGCATGTAGTATCAGGGATTGAATCTTGATTCTTGGGTTTGCCACCCAGAGACGTAGAGCACTGAGCTATCTTCTTGGCCCCAAGTTGTTAAACTCCTAATGACAAAGTTGTATTATTTTTTGAGAATATGAAAATAAAGTTTATCTGCTCTAAAATAGAACAAAATGAAATTTAAAGAAATAATGTTTAACTTAGTGACTGCAGTTATAAGACTGTATTGCATTTTAGACAATTGTTATGGGAATAAATTTAGTCTTTTCTCCACCACAAAATTATACAGGTGTGAGGAAGATATATATGTGCTAACACAATTTAGCTATTTTGGGATGTATACGTATTTCAAAAATGTTGCATCTAATACATATGCACACAAAAATACACTTTGTAATTTGTCTAGTGTCTAGATTGGTAGTTATAACTTTATTTGTTCATAGTTATCTTTGAAAAATATGTTAGAATCAGAGACTCCTTGCTATCAACACCATGGTCTTCTCAGATACTTGAAGTTCATCCATGTACTCCTACCTAGAGATTCCTAGACCCAAGTTTAATAAACAACATCTTTAGTAAACATACTTTCTCATGGTGCACTATGAGAAGAAGAGAAGACTTGTGGCCTTCCTGCTTGCTCTATCATTGATTTGTGGTTCTGTCTTTCTTATGGAGCTTATGTCAGAATTGTTGAGGTTCTGTTAGCCGTTGGCTCAAAGCCAAATAAAGAGTGTCCCTGCTGTTGTTTAGGAGCCCAAAGAAGATCTCACAGTAAAGCTAAGAGTTCTCATGACAGAGGTATACTTCATTTTAAATTTCCTCAGGGAATTTATTAAGTTTAGCTACTTTCCTTAAAGCAAAACACACAAATTGAGTAAACTTATTTGCATATATTTGCTGTCAATTGAGGCTGAAGGAAATTTTAATTCCAGATTGCATAAAGCTAAAAGTTCATAGTCTAATTCATTTGCAAAATGCAAAAGCGCATGGTGAATTTGTATCTATTTCATACTAAAATAAAGTATCTCAGAACATAACTTTCCAATAAATGCAAATGTAAGTAATGACCTTAAAATTTTTCTGGAAGTTTTATTTCATTTTGATTTTATTCTCTCAGGTAATTTAAATATTCACTTTGGAATGAATGTAAAGTTACTTGCTGATACAGTGTGATATTTTCAATTTAATTCCAGTCAATGCCCATAATAACTATTATAGTGAGTTAGACTGAATGAAGTAGCATTGTAAATTCTTGAAGAACATTTTATATGACATTATTGAAACACCCACATATACAAATGAAATTATGGTCAGTATGAGTGAACTTTATATAAATGTTAATACAAACAAACTCAATTTCCAAATCAAGTTTTATTTAAAAACATAATGTTTAAAAATGTAATAGTCCTTTAAATAAAATTTGCTTTTGTGAAATTAAATGGTCACACTTAATTATATTTTTCATTGAAATATTGTCAATTAAGAACTACAACAACGGAAATAACCAGTTTCTCATGCTAGAAAGTCCTCCTTTAAATCTATTTATCTAAATTAAGTGTGTGAGGGAAGCATCATCCCTTAAAAACATGAAATAGCCATGGAGGTGGGAAACTATATGAAAAGGAACTACTGCATCCAGCATACTGGTGTATAAACATTTGAATTCTACAAAGTTACAGACTGATTTTATCTCTCTCTCGTTAGGGACAATCATGGAAAAGGATGAAATTAGATGTAAAAAATTTTGCCTAAGAATTGATGGCATATCTTTTTCATTTCTACCAAATTCTCTGGAAAAAAAATGATATATCGGGGGGAGGATATATTGGGAAGCTTAAGAAAAAGTTAAAACCTTGTATACAAAGTATTTGTAAATTACTTCATGTCCTCAAAGTCTTTCATACCCACAAGGGCGTGCGTGATCCATGATTGAAAGTAGTAAAGGTCTAATTATCAAGCTTACACTTAAAGAGGAACAAAACTTTTTATGACTGTCTCTGATCCCAAGGTGGGTCTTGGAGATCTTTGCGGCCTCCTCCCGCCACTTTAAAGTGGTTCTCTGCTGTGTCTTTGTCACATATTGATGATCTTGGCTTCTGTTCTAGCCTTTGAAATCCATGGAACAGAATGGGCCAGGGCTGGAGTACAGAGTGAGCTGGAAGCCACAGGGAGCGCTGGTGGAGTGGGAAGAGGAAACAGTCACAAACCACACCTTGCGGGTGATGACGCCCAGTGTTTATGCTCCTTATGATGTGCAAATTCAAGCCATCAATCAGCTTGGCTCTGGACCTGAGCCTCAATCAGTGGTTCTGTACTCCGGAGAAGACTGTAAGTGATGTACCTGAAACTCTTCAACACTGGAAGACGTTTTGTGCCAGGATATTACATTCCTGTCCCCACACGTTTGGGGGCACCTACTGCATGCAAAGTGAATGTATTAGCTGTAGATAAAAAAGATAATAAAAGGATATGCCCATGCTTCCCCTTGTAGGGTATAGCGAAGGGCAGGTGATCAATATAGAGTGCTGACCAAGTAGTGTGAAAGCCTCAACTTTACTCAGTTCTTAAGTAATCTTTGAAAATCAAATACTTCTTGAAATTATCTGTGCTTTTAGTTAAGCATCATAGTTGTCATGAGGTTTACAAGGTTTTTGTGAGAATTGCCCATATTGGTCAAAGACACCCTTGCAGGCACCTGCTGTCATCCCAGGGCCTCAACTGATGATTGGATCCTTCCTAACACTATTGAGGACCAGACCCAGATTTGATAGTGGAATTCTGAAATACTGGTGGTGTGACAGAGTTTTAAAAACTAATTATGTAATAATGCTCCAGTTACATTGCTGGAAAAAGAGAATACCCTGCATTGTGTGTTACTGCAGAATAGGAGTTATTCTCATTGTTCCTCTATCACATCTTGATGTAAGAAAAAGAGGTGAAGAGTAAGAAATTACTTCTTATCTGCTGTTCAGATTCTTCTACTAACCTCTAACGATGCAGAATTCACCAGTTTCCCATTAAGTTTGAGTCTTGAGTGTATCATATCTAGTCTATTTTTCTGTATGCACTTTTTGGAGTAATGGGACAGTAATATCCATCTTCTAGAGTTGTTGGCAGATTATGTTCTTAATGCTGGACACACAAAATATTATCAATCAATATTAACTTGTTATTAATATTTAGTTAACCAAAATTACAAGTAATTTCATCTCTGTCATTCCTATAGTTCACTTGTTTTCATAAATAGCATGCCCACAGAATATTTTACTGGACAGTGCTTTACATTTCCTTGCATACTCGCCCACATTCTAACTATCTGGAGAATTTCATGTTTTCATGTGGTATAAGCTGTCCTCTTTTCCCAAGGTTTCATTTTAACTGAAAAAATTTTGTTGTAATAAGAAGTTCTCAGTGTCATTTGGAACTGATTTCACGAAAGTGCTTTATAGTTTCACTAAACATTATAAAACTCACCATTGGAAAAGGATTGTCATAATCATGTTCAGAGCTTACTGAAATTTAATTAATCTTGCCTCCTTCACAGATCCTGATTCTGCTCCAGTGGTCCATAATGTGGACGTTATAAACAGTACACTAGTTAAAGTTACCTGGTCAACAATTCCAAAGGACAGGGTCCATGGACATCTGAAAGGATATCAGGTTGTTATCATATTTTTTCTGCTTGTTGTTGCATTTATCTCTTCTCTGAGAACATGAACTGCTTTCAGAAGAAGTCAAAGAGAATCTACCACCATGTGCTGATTCTGTGAGGCTGTTATGCTATTGTGCTATATCTTCATTGCAGGTAAACTGGTGGAAAACAAAAAGTCTGTTGGATGGAACAACACAGCCCAAAGAAGTAAACATTCTGAGATTTTCAGGACAAAGGAACTATGGGATGGTTCCTTCTCTAGATGCTTTCAGTGAATTTCACCTAACAGTCTTAGCCTACAATTCAAAAGGAGCTGGGCCAGAAAGCGAACCCTATATATTTCAAACCCCAGAAGGAGGTGAGGGAATAATGTGGAGAATAATTCCAATAGTGGAAATTATCCAATGGCCATATTGAACATTTCCTTGCTTACTAATAGTTAATATGTACTTTGTGTGAGTTAATGCCTCAGTTTCTGTAAAAAGTTTTAATGTAATGAGACTTCAGTTTTTCTTTAGAAATTTAATGATTTATGAATATTCATTATTGGTTTCATGTTTCTAGTACCTGAACAACCAGCTCTGCTCAAGGTCATCAAAGTTGATAAAGACACTGCCACCTTATCCTGGGAGCGACCTATGAAACTAAATGGAAATTTAACTCAATATTTGTTACAATACCAGATTAGTAAGTAGGAAATTGAATTACATTTATATGCTGATATTTAATTTTTAATTGAACAGTTTGCCAGTGTACTAATGATCTAAGGATAACTTTAGTCCATAGTTCAGAGGCTATCAGACTTTGTTATAGCACAGTTACATTTCAGCCCCTGACTTCTATAAATCAAATATTATTGGAGGAGAGTTAATACATTTCCTACAGCTATTTTCTCACTGCAAAGGGGCCACATGATTTTTGGTGTTTAAATATTTAATTTAGACAATAAAATTTTTCTAACACTTGCTCTAGAGCTAAAACAATGTACCTTTGTTTTTAATACTTACATAGAAGCATTGAGAATTAAGAAACATTTCAAAAAGCAATACTAATAAGTAATATGGTAGCTATTCAAAGCACATATAACTATCAAACTATGATTCCTCTTTGACTTTAGATTCGTGATTATAATCCCAAACTGAAGATACTTTGCTAGCATAATTCTCTATTTTCTCACTAGTTCAAGCACATAATCTCAAGAGAAGAGAAGACCTATCTTCAGACTACTACTTAGAATAATCTCCTTCTATTTGCTTCTGTGCCACTGGATTAATGTATTTAAACAAGAATAGATCATCTTGGGCTGGTGAGATGGCTCAGTGGTCTAAAGCACCTACTTAGAACAAGCTTAGCAAAGCACAGGGACCGCGGTTCAATCCCCCAGCACCACATGCCAGCCAGTCCGCCCCTGGTGGGCTGAGCTGGCCACACACACACACACACACACACACACACACACACACAAATAAATAAAGTAGTTAAGAAAAAGAATAGATCATCTTAAATCACAGCATCTTCTTCCTTGATAGTGCTCAAATGTAAGATTCTGTTCAAAACAAAAATTCGGTAACTGAGACCACATAACCCTTAGTCAGAGCCCAACAATATGTGCTTTAGAATGTGAGAACACAAACCCTAAATAGAAAAGTACTAGGTCAACAAAGAATGTGCCTCCTCTGCTTGCAGAGACCAATTGAATCGTTGTCCTGACACTCTGATGAGACATCAGCTGAAGAACAACCAGTACAGGGTTGCATACCAGTTTTAGTTTCTGATAATCTCTGCTGATTTGGAACATGTTTTGCTAGACATAGATATCAGCCAAATTGAAGTAGCAATTTAGTGTTTCTGAGTGCTTGTTGTATAGCCAAAACATGATCATATATTGTCCCTGTGTTATTTTATTAAAATAAAACAATTATGAAATAATGTACTGTCACTATGTTATGGAAGGACGAACTAAGGCATGTTGGGTGCATGTACTTATTTAGGTTCTGAGGAAGTAATCATTAAGTAAAGATGCAAAGCAAATTAATCTATTGGTCTACATTCATGAACCAGTTTTAAATAGTGTGCAAAGAAAGGAAGAACCATTTAAAGGCATTTTACTATCAATTTGTTTACTAAAGATGTGCCTTATATTTTTCCTGGAAATAAAATGTCAACATTGTTTCAATTCCAATCTTCATATTGATCTGAGTATGGCTTAAATGTATTTTTTAACAAAGTACTTAGAACGTAGTAGAAAGTAATTTTTTAGGAGCAGAATATATTTATTGGGGGAAAGAAAGCTCTTGTCTAAGAGGACAGAAGGGGGGTGGACCCTAGTGGGTTTCCCCCAAAAGCTGTGCTTTCCAGGGATTTTTATAGAGTGGAAAGTAAAGTATTAACTATTATCATAATTATACTTATTCTATAATCATGTGGATTTCTAAATAGCATGATATGTTTAAGTGTATTTTTAAAGACTATAATATTCACCTATTTCTTTATTACCACTGAATGATTGATTGGCATACTTTTAGGTAGTCCAAATTTTTGTTCTTACTCACTGCAGGTTCTCTAGATGAGAATTTTCTGGGGTTCTTATATTCATTTTAGAGTTTTTAATTAACATTTGATGACTAATTGCTGCTTGATCTTGGGTCTATCAGCTCATCATATAGACTGTCCTTTTAGTAGTCTTAAAGAATGTTGTATTCATATGCACATTATTTAAAACAAATAACCTAACATGACTTTTGACCCTCAACACTTTGGGCAGTACTTACCATGTAGTGGGTATATAAAAATATTTAATTATTTCATTAGTTTATTTGTTCTATATATAGAAAGTATAAATGGCTGTGACTTAAGGATGGCTTCACCTCATGATGCTGGGAGAGTATGCAGCAAACATTTTACTCCGAAGTTTGGTCTTTCCCTGTTCAAGTGATTCATGGTGCCATACTTTCTAGTGGTGCTAGACAGACACACCAAACAGCAGCTCCAGTCATCACAGGATTATGAGGCTACAGCACTGCAACTGACACTGTGTAATGCTCTGTGTTGCTAAGCTATGACATTCAGGCTAGCTGCATTAAACGTTTTCTTAGTATTTGTGCTGCTAAAGTGAGCTCGGTGAATATGTTCTTGATTTATAATACTTTGAACTAATAAGAGTGTGCCAGTTCCTTCTTACTCATTGCTGGCACAAAATACCGACACCCAAAATTAAGAAAGGAAAGGTTTATTTAGCTCACAGTTAGTGGAGGTTTCAGTCCATACTTTGCTGGCACTGAGGCAGACAGCAATAGGTCATGGAAGCAGCAAACAATGAAGAGCAGAGCATGAGCCGCAGCTCCAGTGTCTTTCAAGCCTCTCTCTCTTCCTTCTATGCTGACTGCAAGGACCAGAGCTACTCCAAGGAAGTGCCAGCAGCTGCTGTAATGATCTGAGCTTCTCCAAAGTGGTTTTGCTGCGTTGGTCAAGCTCCACCAAGGAAGTGGTGCATAGAAGCCTTCCTCAACTGCCATATGCACCCTTTTCGTTCCTAGTCACTCTGGGCAAGGCAGCCATACCAATCTGGCCAATCCTGCCAATCTTCTGGCATCTCAAATTGACACAATGTCAACCACCACAGAAGGACTTATCAGGATGTAATGGCATTGTAGTTAAAGGAGCATCTGTACTTACTTGGTGCTACATATCAAATTAGAAACCACAGAAGACACATAATCTTAGTATTTATCTCGAAGATGATCAAGTACTTAAGGAGAGAATTAAAATAAATAGTTTGTGAAAGTCCATCATTTTTAATATGAAGATCTTTGTCTCAGGTGGAGCCCAGTGATTCAAAATGTCCCTAGAGCCAAAAGACCATGTTACTCAAATATTTGCTTGCTATTTAATGAGTAGAGGTCTGGGCAAAGTGCTTATTCTTGGTAGGTCTCAGGTTTTCTGAGGTATGACTTGACCATAGTAACTGCATCTGTGTTAGAAGATTACATGAGCAGATAGCTATGAACATTTAAGGTAATTATTTGTATTACACAAGTATGAGGAAAGATAGAAAGCAATATAACTTTATGGTAGGTACTATAAAACTTGAGGCATCATTGTTCAATGTTTATTTCTTTAGTAAATGACACAGATGAAATTGGAGAATTAAATGAAATCAATATTACAACTCCATCGAAGTCCAGCTGGCATCTTTCAAACCTCAATGCAACTACCAAGTACAAGTTCTACTTAAGAGCTTGTACTTCCAAAGGCTGTGGGAGACCAGCCACTGAGGAAAGTGTCACATTAGGAGAAGGGAGTAAGTATTTGAGTCTTCTGCATGTTTTCAACAACTATCCTGAAAGGAATTCCCTATGCTACTGAATAAATTCAAATGATTGTGATGCAAATCTGTCTGACCTTCTGTTTTCCACTGACATAGATACAGTTTATTAATCTTGTTGGTAAAGTACCTGTTAACTAAATTTGTATATTTCTGAATAATACAAAAGTAGTCAATGTTTAACATACACAGGGCAGGGAACCATAATTCTACTTAATTGAAATAGGGCAACACAGAATAATTGAACAGGTTACTAGGGAGATATTTTTCTTTGGAAAATTTTTCCATTAAGAAAAATACTTGTCTTTTGTCTTGATAAAAATTTCTCACAGTACAGATATAATATATCTCATTTCCTGTCTTAATTCATGTGTACATTGATTCATGCACCAATTTTATTTTACTGTCTGGGGTTAATGCCAAATATCATTCTTGGAAACAACCTATGAATCTATGGTTTCACTTAAAGTCCCACTTTCTTAATTCCATTACACTTTTCTGTTTCACTCTAACTAACAGTTATTTTTTCCTTAAATTTTTTGTGCAGTTGTGATTTTAGCAGTATCCTTGCTATGCTTTCTGTAATTCCATAATCATCAGAAAAGAAATAATAAGATAGAATTTAAAAAAGGAACTGGTTGAGAAGAGCTAACATATGCACTAATAAATTCAAGAGGAGAGAATTTAGAAGTTTCTGGATGGTCAGGCATGGGCGGGATTAGGGGAATAGAAGAAGGAAATTGAAAATAGTACAAAAGAAAATAGAATCATTTACACATAATAATTAAATGTTAATCATTATGTGTGAAGTATTTACATATGGTACCACAAAACAAAGAATACAATCTATGGAAGAAATAGCAAGAAGAGAAAAATATAGTAAAGATGCAAGTTAAATTATCTGTGATTTATTACAGATTATATTAAAATAGATTTGTAATTCAAAGTTTTATTCTGATATTTACAGTCAGTTTGTTCCCCCCCTCACTGTCCCTACATATCTACATAGCAAAGAGTACATGTTCCACCGAGGCTGTTTTGATATATTGTATGTTCAGTTAACATCCCAGAAAAACCTTGAGTTCTTTTCAAGGATAAATCCTACAGAAAGTGAAAGGAGGAACTCATTTATCTAGCCATGAGAGTTAGGCTTTGACAAGTTGATTGAAAACTTTTGGCTAACTAAAGGTTATTATTTTTTAAGGGTTTAAACAGAGAGATATTGAGTACTCGATTTATAGAAGTCAGAACAGTAGTCATCTAACTATGCAACTTCCTTCTTTCTTGTAGACAGATTTTAAGGCCCAGGGCTGTGTTTATTTTGACAGAAATAAGACCATAGTATTCCTGAAAAATGCTGGCCCTATTCTTGCCAATTGCAGTACATAAGAATGAGATATTCATAAAATTAGCTTGAAAATATTCCATGCTATAGTGTATATATTGGAAAACTGGGGCCTGAATGTGTTAAAGCTAAACAAATATTATTTTGGAGGATTGAAATGTCATTTGTGTAGTATGTAACTGATGTTTTATCTTCTATGCAAGCTAAAGTAGCAACTAATAAGTTTGGGAGTCTTAAAATAGATATCTTCATTGTCTTGTCTATAATTTATAATGTTCCTTATAGTGTGTTTGTGCTCTTTTTCAGGAATCTGCACTTTCCGTAACCCAGCTACTGCCCCCTCCCCAGTTGACACTGATTTCTCTTCTATAGACATAACTTGCCATATTTGCAGTGACATATTTGTATTATCTTTTACCATTGGGGTTTGACATGGTCTTTGAAAAAAATATTTTTTACTGAGGAAAAAACATTTTGATATCATTTAGCACTCTAGAAACTATAACTTTTATGCAATTTAGAATCTCCTACTGCTGCGTATCTGCCTTCTTGTTCTGCCTAGATAGCACATTTCAAGATTATTTGACATTTACTCACAGTGAGGAATTTAATACACATGTATTACTTTATGATTGCTTTCTGGTTCTTACTTCAACTTTTAGGAAAGGGGGAGTAGAGTTAATTTGAAATAGTATTTTGTGTCATTGGTGATTTGAACAAATGACTTGCTTTGCTCCTTTTTTTTCAAAAGCTTGCACTGCTTAACATTATACTAATATTTCTGTTTTTCAAATTCAAAATTAATTGCTCTCCATTTCAATGGTGATCAATCTTAAAGGCTTTGCTTAACTGTATCACTGAACTTCTATTTTTCCTAGTGCCATTTTTAATGAAACATCTTTATTATCAATAACTGCAATCAATTTTTATCTTATAGATTAAAAAGTTACATGCAAGTATTTATGTTACCACATACACACATAACCCAATTTTGTATCTCCTTATATTCTCATTAAGGAATGTCTTTTACGTCACATATGAATTGCTAATTTTTTTGGTTTATTTACTATACTGACTTTATTCCTATTAAGTGTATAAGTCAAAACAAGAGTAATTTATATATATTGCAACATGAAAAATTGATATAGAGTTAGTACCATTTTCATCTGTCATATGAAATTCTACAACTCTATTGGATTTTGGTGTTTTGGGAAGGGAAAGTATGTCTCATATCACTTTCAAAATATCAATAAAATCATTCCATTTAAATGTAGCTATAAACCTGCATTGTATATTGCTAAAGTTTCTACAAATTTAAAATACTTATTTATGACCATATCATGTTATTCCATAGAATTTATGGAGCTGTCTAAGACAAAGAGAATATATGAATATAAATAAATATACTTCTTTAATATATTTATGTTAATATATTCATTTGATTAAAATGATTATATTATACATTATAAACCAAAAAGGCTACATCCAATTTTTATTAGTTATATGACAGTCCAAATTACAAAAAAATAATGCTTAATTTTTTAAATGTCTGTGTCTGGTTTTATACCATTCACATGACCAGGCAGATTTATAGTAGCACTTCATGCTGATCTCATGTGGCCATCCATTAAAGTCATTTCACTTATTCATTTTCAGGATATTAAAAGAGAATACCTTGAAATGATAATCTCTTGATCTCCTGATAATTCAGGAACTATTAAAATGCAGAAGTGATTTCTTTCATCTCAAATAACAGTATTTTTCTTAACTTTTCATAACTTGCCTTTCAATAATTACAATTCATATAATTTAACTGTGTACCTTTCTCAGGTAAAGGTATCAGGAAGATATCAGAAGGAGTAAACCTTACACAAAAGGTTCACCCAGTAGAGGTATCTGAGCCGGGAGCAGAACACATAGTTCGCCTAATGACTAAGAATTGGGGTGATAACGATAGCATTTTTCAAGATGTAATTGAGACAAGAGGGAGAGGTGAGAAATTAGATTGTGTTTGGGATAGTCTTAGATAATATACCTGTGTCCAGTGAATTCATTTTATATGTACATACCCTATATCAAAGATAAAATAATTGAGCATTTTAGCTATAATCATCATAGTTACAACTTTTTGGGGAAATAATTTTAAAATTATCAAAATGAAAAATATTTCATAATGCTACAACTTATCTCACAGTGATTGTGCCAGAACAATTGCCTAAAAATATACCCTGCTAATTAACATGCGTTAATAACAAAAACTAAAGCATCTATAAAAGCAAAACCACACAAGTGAAGCACACAAAGCTCCACAGTGACCTACACATAACCAAGGCAGCCCGTGCTTCGCCTGCTCCCCGCTGCTCTGTGCTTGATGCCGCTGCCTTCTCTGTTCCCTTTGGTTCACATACTCAGAACCCAATACAGCCCTTTCTTAATAAAGTAGAAATAGGTTCCTAGTCGTACCCTAATAAAGTACCCTTTGGATCACTTTCCCTCTAGGAGCAATGAGAGGAGAAAAAAAAATTGATGCTATTTTGTTTGCTGAATTATAATGTCTGATTTTCCCCAAATAATATGGTACCAAACACTTTGTGGTATTCACTGTCATGACTTCTCTTTTTACAACAGAATATGCTGGTTTATATGACGACATCTCCACTCAAGGATGGTTTATTGGCTTGATGTGTGCAATTGCACTTCTCACATTAGTCTTGTTAACTGTTTGCTTCGTGAAGCGGAACAAAGGTGGAAAGTATTCAGGTAAACAGTTTATTACTGTGATATACAGCTAAGCAAATAACAGTTTCTAAGAGGGATCTTCAGAGATCTGATATTTTTTAAAAATTACACACTGAAGTCAAATTTATATTAGCAACTTAAATATATAATAACCTGGATGGAAAACATTATTGCTAAATTAACTTATCAATGGGAATATAGGTGATCTATAACAGCAGTGAAGACCATTTGAGACCACATGTCCAAGCTGCAATCTGAGACCCACTTATTTATCAGAGAATACCAACACTGCAATTAAATCTGGATACTGAGGACTTAATTCAGAAAAGTAGCTCATACATTAACATATTTTATCTTAAAACCACAATAACACACATGCTGTAGGTTCACTACTACTGATCTACCACATTACATTGAAGTGAATGCTTGTTTTCTCATTTATAGTACTTAAAACACACTGGAACATGGTTGAAAATACCTCTACATTTCTCTTTTCTATCCTTAAATAGAGATTCATTCATTAATGGCACATATTTTAATGTCATAAAAAGACAGTAACCACCTATAGCATGTTTCTATATAAGTAGAAGACCTGGGATATTTGTATCAATATTCTCTGGTGCAACTATCTCCAATTTTCAATCATTGAAAAAGTGTGTTTTTTCATTTCCCATGGTTGTATTAGATATACTACTTCTTTAATTAATTGTATATTAAAGAAGAGAGGATTGTACTAATATTGTTTAGACAAGATTCATGTCTGTATCTTGTCCACTGAGCAACTACTATGAAGACAACAATATGCAATGTATTAATTATTGTAACTCTCTTACTAACCCATTTTGAAACTGTTTCATTGCTATTTTATCTATTTTTCTCATTAAATGAATAAAAATGTATATTAAAGATAAGTAAGTAAATAAATATAAATACAAATAAATAAAATAGAAATAGAAACACCCTCATTAATATGTTTATTTTAATTAAGCTCAACTTCCCAATTTATATATATGTATATATATATATATATATATAATTTTTGTTTACTATTCCCAGTGCTTTTATGTGAAGAGAAAGATTTATTTAGATACCACTGCTATAATATAGTTTGATTACATACAGATTAGTGAGCTTCATTAAGCAATTTGGAAACCATCATGTATATAGATAGCAATTGCATGATTTTAAGCTTTTTGGTAAAGTTAAGTGCATAATTTATATAGTTACACATTTCACATTTTCCTGGAATATCTGAATTGTAATGCATTATTTTCAAAATCACTACTAAGTACTCAGGGTAAATCGTTGGAAGTCTTTAAAATATTGAGCATCTCTCCTTGAGTATCCTTAACTAATAACCGTTTGTGACATGTGAACCCAACCATTTTTTAAAGAACTTCTTCAAATCACATGCTTAAATGAAAAACAAAACACCTTTCATATTGTTGCATGCTAAGATAATCTCCTGGTCACTGTAAAAAGTGTTTGCTATTTGAGTTTTCTGAGAAAAGAAGCAAGAGCTATGACTGTTATCCCATTATATAAGAATAAAATCTTAATTTAAAATATTACTATTATTGAGACAACTTTGTGTAAGTCAAGG